GGTGGAGATTCTCTTTTCTGCCTTACTGAAAAAACATTGTCTGGCAGTCACTCAACAGGAGAATGGAGGTCTGCTAGAGAAGTGCATTTATTTCTTGGCACACAGCGATTCTCTCAACAATTATTAAACGAGAAACTATTAAACTACAGTTTATAACATTCAAGTTCAAAACTCTAAGGCAGACAACAATGGGGCCAAACCTTTTAGAGGTCTGTGCTATAAGCAGGCCTGAAAGAATTCCACTAACACCAGTGAAAGAAAAACTGGGAAAGAACAACATTATTGTCATTCTCAATCATCTGCATATGTTGGGAAGGTACAGAGACACAGAGAGAGAGAGAGATTTAAAATAGTCTCCAAAATCTAGAGTTGCAATTACTAATTTATCTCTGTATTAGATAATTAGAAAGCATCTAATTGAGGGAGACTGATAGTAGGATAAGGAATCTTTCGACTCAAGGTTATTCGTTCTAATCCAGTTTGGTAGAGACCAAAAATCATGACTACCACCTGACAGATGGTTAGTGATTTATGTGAAGTCAGTAATCTCAGTCCAGTTTATAATGAATAACGGCTGCATCAGTAAACAAATGGCAATAACTGGCACATTTGCGTATTCTCAGCAAAGGTGCCAAGGGCTGGATGGTTCCAGAGCTGTCAATTTAGCACCTTTCACTAGCACTATATTAATTTATTAAAAGAAGGAAACATCGGGGGGGGGGGGTGTACACATACACACAGTATTGTATCATAATATATAAAACAAAACAAATGTTTTGGTATTTGTTACTGTTTTTCCCTTCTCCCTCAGCCCCAATGGAAGGATCTATTAACACAGATGTTGCTCCACTTCACATGGAAACCTTTATTTTTAAAAAGGGCTAAAAACTTTCAGTCAGCCAACCAATTTGAATAGGTGAAATTGCTCTGATCACTTCCTCAATGTATAACACACTCAACATGATGCATTGCATTACATATGCATTCATGTCTCATGTAACTTACATTCCCTTATGCTCAAAGGACATTCAAGTATTGCTGTTGCACAGAATTGTGGCAGCAACACTCAGCATGTGAGGGGTTCAATGAAAGAAATAGAAATAAAGGTGAGCTACACACAGATCTAGCTGTGAACCTCCTCACTATGAACTTTAGTGTATAAACACCATTTCCATCCTCATTGTCAAAGACAATAGCCAACACCTCAAATACCAAAATCATTGAAATTCTTCTCAAAGGAGTATGTAACCATCTGAATATTTCCAAGATTGAAGGTATGTCCCTACCCCCACAGTTCAAGGTGATGGTGTGGTCAAGGTAAACCTTAAAATAAAAAAAGCTTAGAAAATTAGCCTGCATTTTGCAACAATCCCAACATGTTGTTGCCAATTAGGTGGAAACAGCATTGTGAAAGCAGCAGATTCCTCTTCAGAGATGAGGTTGTTAGAAACCTGTCTGAGGAAACATTCAGATCCCTGGCAAACTCCTGTGTGTAGCACTTTTACAGGTTATCACCCCACTTTTTAAAAAAATATTAATTCAGAACTAATTCAAATTAATGTTAAAGTCCTGCAGCATTATATCAAATCTTGGGAAATAAGCGACTGAAATGAAAAGGTGACTTAAATTAAGGTAACCTCATGAAGTCACAGAGAAGAATTTTACATGCGGGGGAGTTACAGGAATTGAACAAGTTACGTGGACTGTTAAGCTGGAAAACAATCACTTACTGTTCTATTTTATATCTCTGAACTGGACAGTATTTGTCCAGTGACATAATTTGTAACATGGTAAGGCACGTTACTGAACACTTATTTCTGATGTTTGCAGTGACTGTAAGAGAGTCAGGTTACTATGTGGGGCAGGAATCACATTTAATGTCTACAGATAAAAACATTACACAAATGAAGTAGGACCGCTAGAAGCGCAGATAAGAATTCTCACTAGTTCCTCCTTTGTGTGATGAACTTTACAGACACAGTAGGCTCTTATTCTGTTACATTAAGTAGTAAGGAAGGTTTCCCTTTTCCAGCTGCCCAAACTCATATCACTTGCTCCAATAAAAGCAGGTCTTTCATGCATAACTACCTGTAAGCAAATCTGTGTTCTCTGATTCACTCAGGGCCATTATTAGCCAGTGCACAGGGATCTGCATAATAAATGTTAGGTTAATAACCATATAGTGACCATATAAATCTTTGATGAGTTGCTGTAAATCCCTTAGTACCAAAAAGCTACTGCACTCTCTGAACCTCTCACTGATTTTGCCCACAGCACATAAGGTTGCCTCATCTTCTGACCCCCTCCCCAAATCTGTCACTCCAGTGTCCAATCTACACTGCACAGTGGAACCATAGTGTAGATGGACCTGCATTCAATATAAAATGTAGCATTAGGATGGGTGACAGAAAGAGGAAGGAGAAGGAGTCAGATGAGTCAGCCATATTTGTTTTGGGAATGTGAATTGCAAATTCTGAGGGCAAAAGCCAGTAACAGAAGAGGGATTTACAGGAGCCCACCTGAGTGCATATTTCACTACTAATGCTATAGTGACTTGAGGGTGCTCCTTGTTAACTGACTAATAACTATATCCTAGACTAAGAGAACTTTGATGTCCTAAGTTTCAGAGTTTATTTGCTGTACAAGTCTCGGCCTTGAAATTTATTTAGCCCAGAATACAGCTATCATTTGTAAACTGGTAGCATTCTCAAACTAACTTTTAATTACTCACTCTATTTTCATATCTGGATCTGATGGTACCTTTCACTCTCCTAAAAGATACTGTGTCAAATCTCTACATGCATAAATGTATCTTTAGAATCATAATTTCCCACCAGGACTAATCAGAAATTAACAGGGTCGTTATAAATGCATGTTATCAAGGCACAAACCAAGATAAGAAACATGCTTATGGCTCAAGTGGGACATTATTCCTTTTGACAAGCACAGACCATCTGTGGAATTCTGACAGCTGGATAGTGCAATTATTTAAAAAAATAACTCAATGATTTATTAAGTTGACTGGCAGATACTATATAAGCACTCGCCGCCCGAAGTGTCTGAAATTATAAATTAGCTGAACCCTGCGGAGGAGGCTGCCTAGAAGACTGCAATGATAATAAGCTCACCTCCAAGAGATAAAATATCTCTAAAGCAAACATTTTTTACAATGGATAAATCATAACTACTGAAGGCTCCAGTTTTTTGCTGCCACTATTAGCGCGAGGGTCAAAATATACAAGCTACAGACTTTAGCCAGTTAAATAAGAAGTGATTGAATCAATTATACTTTTATATGCACTCATACTGGAGTGATAAATACTTATCAAAATCCATGGTCAATGTCACAGAACTGCGTGGGTCTGTTCAGGAGCAATTAAATACAAAGAACAATTCCTGATCTGAACTGTATTTTCTTTTACTGATCCTGTGAAAGAGGGTCACAAAAGATCTCTGCATAGCTGGCTGACATAGAGCTTACACAGCTCAAAAAGGACATTTTTAGGACTTTTTTTCCATACTGAAGCAAGAAAAATATTCATGCATGTATTGAGACTCTTTCAGCTGAAATATAAATCCAAGGAGCTGACTATTTGTGGGCATGGAAGAGTCTCAGTATGGTGTTTGGCTGGACAAATTCCAGTTTGGCTAATTACTAGAGCCTCCTCACGTTTTCTCTGCAATTTCAAATGGATAGAGTATTCCTCTTTACTACCTGTATTACTCTATTGTGTACTGTTGCTGTGTATCACTGACCAGTTTCAGTGTTACACTCTAGAGATTGCTGTGTTTGTTTGGTGACCGATCTCTTGTAAAGTGCTTTAGGATCTTTCATCCCACAGGATCCCAAGAAATACACTTTCCTGTAAATACAGTTATAAACAAAAAACCAGGGGCTTATCTGTCCCCCACAGCAGAAGGAATTGTCACTGAAGTCAGTGGGTATCCTACTAGAGGGAGAGCAGGGAAGAAGCAGCCTGAAAGGTGGCTTTTAATGATGCGTGTTTCCAAATTCCTATTTTTCTTTTACCATGGAGCTCAGGCCAGGTGTCAGGGCATTCTTGATGTACTAAGGCACAGTCTGAATAGTCTACTAAGATGTTCTGAGCTCCTCATTCTTGAGTAATTGCTTCCCTCTTTCATACCTCAACCTTCACACTAGACATCTGTCAGTGCCATGCTTGCCTCCCCCTCAGCAATGCTAATGGGTCAGTATCCTAGGCTAGGCCCATTGAAAATGCTATCATTCTCCAATAATTTAGTGAGTTTAATATCAAAAAGCTATTCCTGAGCTCTCTTCTCCTGTATAGTTGAAAACCGTCCTGCTACCAACCCTTTGACTGAGCTTTTGCAGGATAGTTTAGAAAAAGAAAATACAGGTATTAATTTTTCTGTATGTGTAAAATATAAACTAACTAAGGGAGAAATTAGTTTTCAAAATTCTGCAATATAAGAAAATAGAATAGGGCTGAATGGTGCAGCAGGTTAATTAACACACTAGCACTTCCTCCTCAGAGAGCTGGGTTCAAATCCTGGCCAAATAAAAAGTGAAATGAGTTTGTCCCAAAAGTAGATCACTCAGGATGATTATCAGTTTCTGTACAAGCGAATTCTAGGACTAGAATACCAGGGGTGTACATTCACAGGGCTGCGTGGAGAAGACAACAGCAGGAAGAAGAAAACTGGAGGTAAGGGAGGTATTCCTCACATAGCTCTGACAGAAGCTCACACAGAATCTATTTATACCATGAGACTTTTGCCAGTGTTATCACTTAAGTTATTCACTTTCAAAGGTATCAAATTCACACAAAATTTAACAAAAACACTCAAATATATATACATACATACACACACCTGAATATCATAAAAACATTTTGTGCAACTTACAAATACAACAAACCTTTAAATAGTAATGTTACCAAGATGCATAGTACATACCAACGACCTGAAAGAAAAAAATCTTATTTTATGACTAAGCCACAGAAGTACATTCTACTTACAACAGCTGGGGGATCATTCCATTCTTCATAAGACATGGCAGCATATGGGTAGATCCTGTCATTGATAATCTGAAGGGTGGCCAGAGCAATAGCTTTCATCGACCGAAAATACGCTTCCCAGAACCACCTTGCCTGCAAGGAAAGGATGAAATGCACTTTCAGGCCCTGCTAACTCCACAGACCTGATGTCTAATCATCAGTTTTCATTTATCATATGCAATCTGCTAAATGCTACTGAGAAATCAGCTGGAAATTAAATCAGGAGGCAAATTCACTGGAATGAGGGATGTTTCCACAGAGGCTGCAGACCTCAAAATGAAAAAGTTACTGAAAAAAAAAAAATTTAACTGAAGTTGCAGAACAATAAATAAATAAATAAAATAAATAAAAAGCAAGGAGGACATGCAGAGGAAAGCATTTGAATGCATTCGTGAGTGGACTAGTGGAATAAAACTCCATGCAAATATATGAAGGAGCCAGTTTCTTTCATATTTATCAGTTTTTCCCCTCAAAATGTCAAAAATGATTTAACCACAGCAGAGTATAATTTACTGTTATATTTGTTTTTTCTAATTTGAGGGAACTCAAAGTGCAGCCCAATAGCCAACTGAAGCAGTGGAGCCTAAAATACAGCTGCCTTGTAATTGCAGCATGTGGAAAAGCTGATCTGCTGCAGGTTTTTGCTACTGGTAAACTCTACCAAACAAGCAATTTCTATTCTTCTATGAAGAATAAAGATAGGGTCCTACCAAATTCATGGCCATGAAAAATGCGTCACTGTCTGTGAAATCTGGTCTCCCCCCCGTGAAATCTGGTCTTTTGTGTGCTTCTACATTATATTATACTGATTTCATGGGGGAGACCAGCGTTTCTCAAATTGGGGGGTCCTGACCCAAAAGGGAGTTGCAGGGGGGACTGCAAGGTTATTTTAGGGGGGTTGCGGTATTACCATATCATGCCATCCTTACTTCTGCCTTGCTGCCATCAGAGCTGGGCGGCCAGAGAGTGCTGGCTGCTGACTGAGGGCCCAGCTCTGCAGGCAGCAGCGCAGAAGCAAAGGTGGCAATACCATAACGTGACATCCTTACTTCTGTGCTGCTGCTGCTGACGGTGGCTCTGTCTTCAGATCTGGGCTCCCAGCCAGCAGCTGCCACTCTCCAGCTACCCTGCTCTGAAGGCATCACTGCCGCCTGCAGCAGCGCAGATATAAGGGTAGGAGTACCGCAACTCCCCCCACAATAACCTTCTGACCCCCTCCCCACAACTCCTTTTTGTGTCAGAACCCCTACAATTACAACACGGTGAAATTTCAGATTTAAAAATCCTGTGACCATGAAATTGACCAGAATGGACCGTGAATTTGGTAGAGCCCTAAATATAGAAATGCAAGCAAATATTAGCATTTCTTTTATCTAAAAATGTACATGATTGCAAATTAGTCGTAGTCCTTGATCCCAGCAAGTTTTCAACTCAGCCATGGGTGTTGTAAAATTTGCATGCCTTTGGTCTAAACTAAGGCGCTTTTTAAAAAAAATAAATGTGATATTCAAACAGATAAATATACAGAATTTCACAGATGAATCAATTCTAGGCTGAGACTCTATATGAAAAGTTTCAATCCAGATTCAGTTTCTACCCAAGACAAACCCTTGGTGCTGGAGGAAAAACGGGATTTGGTAATGAATATGCTGACTGATACAATTCTGTAGTACAGACACACACACACACACACACACACACACACTTTAAAAGCCTGGAATCAAATGATACTAAAGAACCACGTCCAACCCAAAAGGAAACGTGTTTTGCCAATGATCATAGCTCAAGTGCCTTGGCCTAATAAAAGTGAATTTCCTGAGCTTAGTTGTTTCTGCAGAAATTTCCAGCACCTTGAAGTGTCCAGAGGCACTTCTTTTTAGGATCTCCCCAAGCTTTAGCATTAGCCTGCAGGAGTGTGCACGTGCATCTAGGTGGGAGAGCAAGTGATAGGAAAGACATTTCCAGATGCACTGGCAGCATATGAAGCTTGCTGAGCCAGAAAACAAACAGAAAGGATAATATACCTCTCTGGCCAAGTGCTATTTAACTATGCCAAGGGGACTTTTCAAACAATGCAAAAAGGCCAGCTCTAGTGTATGCTAGCAAAGTATCAAATCTTTCTCAAAGGTTTTTTGGGGAATCCCATTGTCTTGGCAGAACAGGCTTTTGGATAACAAAATTAAACTGTTTTGTGTAGTTGTGCAATGCTAAACAGCTGTTGCATTCCATCCTACAGGTGGCTGCTCTTCACTGAAGCGCAAAGTGATTCCTATAGGTACAATTTGTAAAGCTCTTTGGGATTCTTCAGGTTGAACAGCACCGTATATAAGTGCAATAAATCCAAAATTTTACTTCTAAAAGTGTTGAGGATGCAAGTTCACAAGCAGACTCAATTATGTTCCTGAGCAATGGCACCATCCTATGTGTTGTTTTGAATACTAGTAATACAACTGAGAAGAAAATGGGTCCGTTGCCAAGTCCTCACCCTCATCACTCACTCTGGAGGCAGTTTTTAAGTCAGGTTTTTCAGAAGGTTTTGGTTTTATACTTTGGAAGGGAAAAGCCACTCAAATGGTACAAAAAGCAACAAACCCTTAGCTCATTAGGAAGAGTGATCATAGAGAACGACAATGGGTAGTGTCACCTAGAATACTTTTTACCCTACTCTGGGGAAAGAACAATAATCACAGGCCTCGACACCTAAGAATATTCAAAGGATATTCCAGGAGGCAGATGAGTTTATCCAACGATTAGTTACATTTGTACAGGGCCTCTGACCCAGAGGGAACCCAAAGTGCTTTACAAACCATATATAAACCGAATCACTTTGCTCACTACAGAAATACATTCTCTCTCTGGAACCAAATAGGAACTACTCACGAATTTAGGCCAAAAATGAACACTGTACCCAACTGGAAGTGCAGGAGAAATATATAAAGGTAATTTACCAATATTATAAAAAAATAAATATTTAGAACTCTAAAATACTTTACAAAAATTAAATAATCCTCCTAGTGTCCCCAGAAACCAGGACAAAAAGTGAAGAATCAGATGCCAAGGGTATGTCTACACTACAATTAAAAACCCACGGCTGGCCCGGGCCAGCTGACTCAGGCTCATGGGATTGGGCTAACAGGCTGTTTAACTGCAGTGTAGACATTCGGGCTCAGGCTGGAGCCTGGGCTCTAGGAATCTTCAAGATGGGAGGGTCCCAGAGCTCATACTGCAGCCTGAACCCAAACGCCTACACCACAGTTAAACAGCCCCTTAGCCTGAGCCCCATGTGTCCAAGCCAGCTGGCACCGGGCAGCCGCACGTTTTTAATTGCAGTGTAGACATACCCATAGAGAGGAGTAAGTTACAAGTGTCTTACACAAGATCCTAAAGAAAACCAAAGAGAGCAAGGATAAAATTTGACCAGGGCAGTCCATTTAATAGCCCTTCTCGTCCAAAATTTGTAAAGACCACAAGTAGATACAACTAGAGCGCCACAAATTCACGGATATCCACTTTATATCCGCATCCACAGACCATTTTTGCAGATCGGATGCGAATACAAATTTTGTATCCTCACAGGGCTCTAGATAGAACACAGATTTTACATTACACCTGCATGTTAACTTATTAATTGATAAGTAGTTTTAGAGAACTATCATTTGTAAGAGAGAAATTAATTGCTAGAGGAATAAATTTTACATAGCCTACCTAGGTACAGTAGCAGCACAAGTTACATACAAATCAACTGCAGAACCCAACATGGTACTTCATGCTGGTAAGTGGTGCACCCCATTTCTCCTAATCTGGTAAATTTTTACTGGCAATGCTAGACTGGTGATTATTCACCTCTCTGATAACCAACTCCTCCTGACAAATGGTTATAATGCAGAACCTATTCAGACACTCTCTACCTCCTGTTGACTGCAGCAGAAATTAATCTGAATCCACTTCATTTTGCTGCAAGAATGTTTGCAGTGTCCGGTAGAATTATATTTTAACACCAGGAAAAAGACAGGAGAAGGGGGTGAAGGGAATTTATTCTTTACAAACTAATATTTATGTAATTATTAATTTTGGGTGAAGAGCTAGAAACTGTTTCAACATTTGGTTGTAATTTTTCAGAACGGAGTTTGTTTAAGGCAAAACCCAAAACCTTCTAGGGGGATTGCAAGTCTCCAGACAGATGTTTTGAGGGCTCATTACTTCCTTCCTATCTTGTTTGCTTTTATAAAACAGAAGTGATTAACATGGCTAGCTATTCTAGGTTGTCCAACATGGTAAGTTACTAAGCATTATTGGAAAGTTATTCTACTAGGGAAATACGTTGTGTTTCCCTGTTTCATCCAAAATAAATTTTAATTTTCTAATTTACAGTGTATGTGATTGGAAAGCTTTTATCAGAAGGTAACAAAGATGTAGCAGGAATTGGGTGGGACTCAATGATACACATCGTAGTCTACTAGCATAGTCCAGGGAATAGAGAAAACTTGAGTTCTACTCCTGGCTTTGACCCAACACCCTCTGTGTCCTGGGGCAAATCACAAACTCTCTCCCGTCAATGGCTCATACATGAGCCTTCTCTTTTCTTTGTCTTTACAAGCCATCTATTACTGAAGTATGGAGGAAGGAGGCTAAAGGACAAGCAACAGAAACTTCATTCAGAGTCAACAAATATTTTTTATGCCACCACCTGATGTTTTAGGCCATGGCTGTGACTAAATGTTCTTGCTTCCTTTGACGAGGCATCTGCAGAGGGTTGATCAGTGGACTCGCTTCAGCGTGTACACATTCTGCTGAATCTGGGTATCTGGCCTCACTCAGAAAACCCTTGAGTGTTTCTTACTGTGAGAAGTTCTCCCGTGTCACAGATAAGGTTGATCGCACACGATGGATAAGATCAGCTGGGAAGCTCCCAAGGACAAGCCCTATTATATTCTAGATAGGCTCTTGTACCATTCTCAGTGCTATAGTAGCTCAGTGCCTTCCAATAGTGCATTAAACAATGAGACTACAGATCTGTCACATGACATTTGTTCACTCATCCTCTCCCCCACGGGAGAAGCAAGTAGAGTGGGGTATCTTGTTTTGGTAGGGTG